CCCGGGCGTGTGCGCCCCGCGCGGAGCGTGCTCGGGTTCCCCACGGAATGTCCCCGGGGCGCCCGGCGCGCTGACCCCCCAGCCGCCTCCGCCTTCGGCGCCTGCTGCCTCTCTCCGGCAGGCTTGGTGTTTGGGACTGCAAGCTTCCCGGCTCCTGGGCAGTGGGGAAGCCCCCGGGGGCGGGTGACCTCAGCTGGCCACGACCCAGCCCTCCCCCGTGTGTATCTCGCTTAAGATGGCAGCGGAGTCAGGGGAACTAATCGGGGCTTGCGAGTTCATGAAAGGTGAGGAGCAGCCGCCCCGCATCCGCCAACCCTCCCCCGCCCCCAACTCTTCACTTCTCGCCTCTACGTCCCAACCGCTGTCCCCGGCATCTCCTGGGGCCCTCAGTGTACTGCAGCCGCTGCGCGCGCTCTCGTCCCCTCTAGGTACTGTCCTCTCCCCGAGGACCCCTTGCTTCCGGCTTCTCTGTCTTTCTTGCCTCCCTCGTTCCCTCTGCAGCACCCTCGGGAGGCCTTCCCGCCCGGTGGTGGGACAGCGCCGGCCTCCTGCGTGCAGCGGCTCTTGAGGATCCTGCGCCGGGTGATCCTTTCGGCTGCCTTTATCCCACTATTGCTGGGCTCGGTTTTCGGGACACCTCCAACCACACCCCTCTGTCTCTCCTCGCTTCCTCTTGAAGGCTCTGGAACTGCAGGGGAGAGGCTCGCCTCTTTCTTCCCCTTCTGCAGCTGCTGAGGTCTGGAGATTTCTGAACCAAACTTGCATCTCCAGTTCTACGGGTACCCTCAGCTTCTACCTGCTCCCGCTGGCCTGAAACTAGAGAAATTTGGGAGCTTTGCCCCCGCGCTGAGTCCCTCAGTCGAGTCCTTTTCTCGCTTCTCTAACTGGTATGCTCTTGGGTCTCTCGCTTTCTGGGAGAGATCAGGTTTCTGCAAGAATTCCACGTGTTAACGGGGTCTTTAAATAATGGGTAGCAGTTGTTATTTTGATCCTGGTGTATTAGCACCACCCTCCATCTCCAGCTTCCCTACTTCTCATATGTTTTCTCCCGTCTTTTAAACTTGTCTTTCAGATCGCTTATATTTTGCTACTTTAAGGAATAGACCAAAAAGCACAGTAAATACCCACTATTTCTCCATCGATGAGGAGCTGGTCTATGAAAAGTAAGTTTCTATTTTTTTTCTCAACCATTTAGTGTGTTGGTTCTTTTGTGAGGAAACACTGTGCACCTTTATGGAAGTTTAATTCACTTTCCCCCAGTGGTGCAAGTAACAGTACCGATTTCTTGAGGCTCATATAGTTTGGGAGAGGTGCAGGGAAAGTTAACATAACTTGAACCTGTCATCACGTCATTCCTTTTAGACCTCTGTCTGTATTAGTTCTTCCTACCACCACAGCAAACTACAAGTGTAGATTCCTAACACTCCCCAGAGCAGGACCAGGGAGACACAGGCTCTGTCCTTGCCAGATTCTGTAACTGGCCTGTGAATCAGTCACTAAGTATTTATGGAGCACCTACAGAGTACAGGGCAGTGTGTGTATCACAGGTGCTTCAGCTTTGCAGTTCACAGGGCTTCTATTGTATCTCAGGATGTTTTCGTTTGTGTGGCTCATACTTGGAAAGTGGGACACACTTACCAGCTGGAGGTCGCTGTATCCAAGTCATATCTATGAGTAAGATTTTCCCTGTGTAATAATTTTATTATTTTTTGCCTTCGAGGAAGTGGTATGGAAGTGTTAGTTTACTTTCTTTGGTAACTTTGCCCTTATTGGATTAGGATTTGAGAATATAAGATCCAAGTAGGGAACTGTTTTCTGTGAAAGACCATTGATCTACAGGAAAAAGATACTGTATAGTATAGTAAAAATTTAATTAAAAAAGAGATAAACCTCTGTTCAATAAAAGCAATGTATAAATAAGTAATAAGAAGGTGGAATTGATTTATTATGTCCTCTTATTAAAAGAGCTGGTGTTTCAGGATAGTCCAATATATTCTAACAAACATTTAATTTTACTTTCTTGTTGTCTTAACCAAACATGCAATTATGTGGACATAGTTACATGACCCACAGTCACTCTAGTAAGCTTCCTAGGACCTGTCCTGTTAAGAGGGATGTTGGCAGTTCTGACTAAGGATTTCAGGGTACCACCAGGCTTTGGAAGAGTGAGAGTATTCTCTACCTTCAAGAGCAGATCTTCTATTTGAGGGAAGACAATCTTCAACTGTCATTTCATCATAGAGACTCTTGAAACTGTTGTCTTCAGGACGTTTTCCTCAGTGGTGCTGGGAGCAGGATGCTTCTTGAATGGTTGAAGTGAAAGTGGGAATGAAAGAGCTCTTTTCTGCCGCTCATGAATGCCCAGAGTTGCTGCAGCAAAGAGGTCTAAATCCCTGGTGTCAGATTACAGCTCTGCTCCTAGACGGAACGGAGTACTGCACTGCCTGCTCCCTGACCTCGTGCACCTGGTGATGTCACTGCCAGCAGTGTCGATGGAGTGTTCATTCTGTTGTTGGGAACGTGTACTGCTGTGGCTTTATTCTTCTGAGTGTAGGATTTGGGGACCTTTTGTGAGTCCGAGGGAAGAGACTGTGTCTATGCCATTATGTTTAATTCTTCAGTGATGTGCCCGAGGTTAATATGGCATTGAACAAGCTCCCGGCCTTGAGGTTTAAGTTGCTTCTCTTGGGGTTGCTAGATGGTAGACCTAGCAGGAAATTATGTTTAGTTACCTAAACACAGTGCTCAAGGTTTATTTTTTTTTATTTTTTTTAACTCTAATATTGATATATGAGGAAATTTTTTTGTGGGATTTTAATGTCAGTATTTTAGGTTAGGGCTACAAATCACACTCTTCTTGTATTGATTCTACTGTATTTCTGGTGTCCTGGAAAGAAAAACTTCCTGGAAAGGCCATCCAGTTTACATTGTGGGGTTTGATGTCACTTGAAACTGTGATGAGGACTTCAGTCTCAGCAAAGTGTACAATGATGATGGGTACACGTGTTACCTTTGAGGACGCCAAAGCTTTAGATAGAAAGACAGAACTGCAGTTAGAGATAGAGAAAAGATACCTACCACAGAGAAACATAACCCCCTGTGGCAGCATGAATTCCCAGGCAGGTGGGAGCTCATCTGGTTGAGGGGTTCAGAAAAGGCTTCATGGAGGAGTTCAGATTGGCTTACAGGATGCACAGAGTTTTTTCGGGCAGAGATGAGGAGGGAGGCTCTGGAGTGTGTGAGGGAATAGTGAGTCCTCCAGTTTGCCTGGTGTGTATACAGGTCAAGTGAGGATGTGTAATATGAAGCTGAAAGGTCAGTTGGGGCAGATTGAATGGCAGGGTGAGGAGCTGCAATTTCCTTTATACGCTGTGGGACTCTTGAGGATTTGGAGGTGGTCCATGGCATGACTGGGGCTGTGCTAATTGCAGATAATGGCAGACACTTAGCATTTAAATGCATGCCACGCGCTTTTCTAGGAGCTCCGTGGCTATTAATTTTATTTTCACAACAGTTTTGAGGCAGATACTGTTGCCATCCTTAGTGTGCAAATGATAGTAAGGGACAGAGAGGTCAGGTAACTTGCTCAAGTTCACACAAGTAAGAAGTAGCAGAGGTGGAATTGGAAACCAAGCCCTCTGGTTCTCAAGTACATGTATCCTTGCTCAAAAAACTAATATGATGGCATCATTTAAGATGAATCAGAGGGGAAGTAGAAGCCCACTTAGAAGAGTTCTGAAATGTTCTAGGGGAAGAAATAAAGGCAGTGATTAGGATTGTAGGCAATGGTGGTAGAAAGAAGGGCTCTGAATCCATGTGACTCAGCAGCAGATCAGGTGGATGGGTTGGTGCGGGTGCTGAGGCATAAAAGGAGTCAAAAAAGTCTTTGGAACATCACGGTGAGCCTCCTGGAGGAGGGGGGCATTAACCAAAACAGTAAGTAGGGCAGAAGACTTGGCTTTAGTGGGGGGCTCAGGCATTCCATGTTGGTCAGGTTGAATTTAAGAAATTTATGGGATGTGCATGTCAGCGTTGGATATCACAGAGATCTGAAGTTCTTAAATTTGGGAGTTTTAAGAAATGAGAAAGCTATGATTTCTGGGGAGAAAGAGAAGATATTAAGGTCTGTATTTCGGAGGCCTGACCAGGATGAGAGAAGCAAGGGAAAGAGGTGGCAATAAGCAGCTAGAGATGTGGACAGACAGCGAAGGGGAGAGAAGAGCTGCGAGAGGGAGAGAAGCAGTGGGATCCGTCCTGCGGGCTCTGCTTCTGGGGCCGCTGGATGAGGGAGACTGCAAAGCCCCTGGAAGGATGCGTAGGAGTCGGGGTTCTTCCGTGGCTGATGGCTTGTGGCGAGAAAATTCCTGTCAGATCGTAATGTCCACGTCTCTAAGGAAAGGAGACCATTAGTGTACATAACCACACAGGGTCTTTTAAAGCCCTGTACCTGTCTACTTATTTGCTGAATGTATAAATGAAACACTGCCTTTCTGGCTAACTGATCACCTTGGAAATGCAACTATTATTTTTGAATCGGGAGGTAGACTCTTTAAATATTAGTCCTTGTGTACTCTGGACACAGCTGTGTTGTGTGTAGGTGTTTGTTTAGTTTTAGAAGGATGATAGCATTCCGTGATTGAGATGGCAACCTTCTGAGAAGCCAGTGGAGAAAACTGAACAAAGTGGCATTAGGAGGTCAGGCTGCCTATTACGAATGAAAGTCTGAATTTTCTGCTTGGTTTTTAAACAGAACTTATCACATTAATATAAAGGCCTGAGTGGCTCTAGTGAAATGTGGTTGGTAGTAAAGTACACATTTGTCCTTGGGTTATGATTTCACAGGTCAGAATTAAAATCAGAATATAGCCTAACGTACTTGTAGGAAAAAAAATAGCCCCATAAAAAGAGAGCCTTTTAAAGATTTGTCTGTGTTTGATTAAGCTACGAACAACCCACAACTCTCCAGAAGGGCTAGTTCTTTGGTTTTGGAATTGGGCCTTGTCCTCCGAATAGAGGCTTACTTTTTATAACTTAACTCAAATTGTTTTGGCTCAAAAGTTAGCAAAATCAATGATGTTAATTATTTTAACCTTTGTGTGCCCCTCCTAGCGGTGGCGGGCAGAGGATTGGGTGTTAATGCACAAAAGTCAGTTGGCTGTAAAGGGCGGTGCAGACGGTCTTCATTTCAGCCTGCCTGTGTGCATTTCTTCTCTCCTTGTGTTTGCAAAGGAAAGGTATTGAAAATGCAGGAGAGAACTCTCCATGGGCATACTCTGGGGATTGAATATTAAGCAGTTTCTGAAATGATTCAAAGGGTTTCACCAAATGTTTTAGCATGGAAGAATGAACAGCCTCTAATGAGGGCTAATTAGCTAACCGAAGATTTGAATAATTTAAAACGTTCGATTTTCATTTAAACTTTATTAAAGCCGCCTGATATGAATGCAACTAGGAATTTTGGATAAATAATTTATAGAAGAATGATTTCTTTTATGTAGATGGTAGCATAGGTTTGAGTTGAAATGTGAGCCTAGCCCTTGAGAGAAATACAGAAAAACTTCTGTTGCCTGCAAATATTTGTGGGAATGGAGTATTTAAGTTTGATAGAAGTGAGAAGAAACCCTTTTGATTTTTCAATTTTTATTTTAAACTTAATGTGTAACAAGTAGGTTAATTTACCAGAAAGGTGAATACTATCTCAGCCAGCTATATGTGATCTTGTATAGAGCCTTAGAGCCATCATTTGGTACCTCAGCTCTCTTTATAAATTGCTATGATATAGACAGAAGAGGAGACAGAGGTGAATTCAGAGACAAATTTCACCATGAAAATAAAAATGAAATTATAACAACAGCTAACGTTTATAGTCCCGTGATGGGCAGTATTTGATATCCTTTACACACATTAACTCAATCTTCAGAACAACCCTAGGAAATTAGGTGCTATTATTGTCACCACTTTATAGAGGAGGAAACTGAGGTCCAGGAGGGTTATGTAGAGCCAGTAAATTGGCCCTGAATTCCATACTCTTATGCTTCCATCACGTTCCCAGTTGTCCTGGGTATGAGGCTAGTGGGGAGGGTGCAGACAGCTTTGCCCTTTCCTGGTTCGTGTGGCCCTTCTGACTTGGGTGGTCATGACTTCGGCAAGAAACGTGCTGTTG